GTTCAAAGGCACTCAAATCACCTTTCTTCCCCATACTGATGCTCGGTTTGAACTGCAGGAGATTGTCTTGACCATGTCTACATGCCTAAATGAACTGAGTTGCCGCCATGTGATTGGCTGATTAGAAATTAAGTGTTAACGAGCAGTTGGACAGGTGTACCTAATAAAGTGGCCGGTGAGTGTATGTAAACAGCTGCCAACTACCTAACAGACCCGACAACTTGTTTGAACAACCAGCTCTGTCTTCATGGAACTCCACTATCTTGCTTTAATCCTGATATCTATTCTCGACAGATCCACGTTTTCCTTTTCTTTTTGCATTTGGCAGCAGATTCATGCTGATATTTCGACCTTAACATTCTCCTTAACCCTGTACTTCTTCGATTCCACCATATTTCTTCACCTCAGACTATGATCAGTTGGGACAGTCCTGTGGCCAAAGCTTCCATGTGTGGTTTTCAGTGAATTTAGCTGAGAGCTATGTTTACACTGTGTGCGTACCTGCATTCCAAAATTTCATTCAGTATCTAATAGATAAACAAAAGGTTTGCTTCGCTAACTCATAATCAGCTACATGTAACTAAAAATATAAAAAATATAACACTAAACTGCTAAAAAAAAACCTGGCTGAAGTAAAAATTAGCAGAAGCCAACACCAAGCTAATTACTAAGACGACTGTCAGTCAGTCTGTTTCACACGTCTTCCAGCTGAAGACTGGTGGGACTGACGCAACCCTGTTGATGTTAGCTTATTAGCTAGCAGTTAGCAGACCTAAAGTAGACAAAACCTAATTTAGTGGAAGCTAATTGGTTCGCTAGCGGTTAAAACTAATCTTCTAAACAAAAAACGAATAGCCATTAGCTGTTAACGGATTAGCGGAATCACGGCCCACCACTGTTTCTGGAACAATACTGGTGTCAAATCTTCCAAAATGAACTATATGAAATAATTCAGCATATTTTTTATGTTTTATTTCATATTTTGCAATGATTTCCTTTAAAAATGTTCACAGAAAAATGGGAGCTTCTGAATTAATGAGAAAGCTGAATAAAACAAAAAAAATTAAACCGTCCCTGGAGTGAAGCTCTGGGTTTTTGTAGAAGAGGACTTAAAAATGTAAAGCTGTTTAAATATTTATGTAAAGCATACTTGGTATAAATATTTAAAGTATAGTTTTGACACTGAATGGATTTTTTGCACATGAGGGTAATATGACATTGTTTATTAAATATGGATGTTAGAAGGATGGGTTGAGCTAAACAGGTTTCCTCCTACTTTTACAAATTAAAAATTACTAATTTTTTATGTTGTAAATAAGAGAATTATGACGCCCCTTTCTTCAATTTCACAATTATTTGTTTTGTTTATTTAATTTCATCATATTGAACTCCTCTTGTTGTTGCTTTGTGCGGTGCTACCAGCCTGACAGATAAAAGATCAAAGTGAGCTAAATCTGGCACTGTTACATGATCTAACCATGTGCTTTATTCTGAATTGTTGTTTAACAAACTAAAAAAATTAAAAAATGCAACTTTAATGGCTGAAACATCGCGAGTAAACACACTCAGCTGATGAGATTTAAAGTGTGTGCTGAGCGACAGGAGGGGTTTGTACGCAGCGAAGTAATTAAAAGGAGGAAAGAGCTGTGATTGAGGAAAGTGTCAGGAAAGTGAAAAGTGATGAGACACAGAAGTGATTCAGGTCAATACAATTAACAAGCTGTTGTCAGCGGGGAGGAGAAGAACTTCCATTAGATCCACAGAAATGTTGAGCTCTGATGGGAGACAACTTGTGAACCTTTGCTGTTTGTACGTTTCATAAACAAGAACTTATTGGGAATAAAAAAGTGCAATTTGTATTATATTTATATTAACACAAGGTCAAAAAAACAGTCCAACACTGATCCCTGGGTATGAGGAGCCCGACAATAAATGTGTCTGATCATTATGGCAACAGTTTAGACATACTGTTCGATACAAGATGAAGAATAATCTAATTAAAAATGAAGAATAAATCTTTATTATTGAGTTTGATGTTTTTGCATATGAGTAAACAAAACTTTGTTCTTAAAAACACCTGCAGTAAAAGTTTGCTGCTATTTGCAAACTTCTGTCAATGCTGCTCCTCTGCATTGACAGAAGTCATCAGAGGTGGTTAAAGCATCTGATTAGGACGTTACCTGGGAGATGTCCTCTGCATTTCCAGACACGTCCCACTGGAAGGAGACTTCAGGACCGACCCGGAACTCTCTGAGGGGTTAGGCATCCTCTCTGGCCTGAGAGGAGCTGGCATGTTTCCCCTCCTGGAAGGAAGGAAGGAAGGAAGGGAGGGAGGGAGGGAGGGAGAGAGAGAGAGAGAGAGAGAGAGAGAGGTAGAGGTAGAGAGAGAGAGAGGTAGAGGTAGAGAGAGAGAGAGGTAGAGGTAGAGGTAGAGAGAGAGAG